ATCTAAAGAAAAAGAAGAAGAAGAAGAAGCTTTGTTTCTGTAAAGTTTCATCAGAGCTCTACTATTTAGTGCTTTTTCTTTATCTCGCATACGACAACATTCGACCACATTTGTTAAAGCAGAATGAAAGACTTTTTTAACATGAGAATGAGTCATCACTTTAAAACGATCATCTACAGGAGCTGTTCTACTGATGACACATAGAAAAAGAAAAAGATGCAGACAAAAAGATTCAACATCATGCAGACATAAAAAAGATGCAGATAGAGCGCTCTTCTTATATGACGTCATTCCTTTCTGCAGAACAATTCCATCAATCACTTCGTCCATCATATTTAATCTATAAAATGCCTTCCTTGCTTAAATTATTCAGTCTTCAATTTAGTATATAAAGCAGAATGTATTATACTGCTAAGATCTCCCTCATTTCAAATGCTAAAGTCTAACTCCTTTTTTCATTCTATTACTGAGACTTTCAGCTACACAACGGTGGAAGACGTTTTGGAAAAAGTTTAAAAATAAGGTGAGAATAATGAAATTACTCCGCTTGTAAAAGTAATTGCTGTATGGAAAGAAGTTTTATTTTCACTCCTACTTGGAATGATGATTCATCGAAGACATCAAAAAAAGAGAGAAATATAGAAAAAATATCCTTTTCATTTTCTCGCATGCAGAGTTCTGTATGTCACATAAGAAAAAGCACTAAATGGTAAAACACAGCTTCTTCTTCTTTAGGATGCAAGGACTAATGTGCGTCATCTTTTTCTTCTTTATCTTCATCATTTTAATCTTTCTCGTCTCGTAGTCACTGTGTATTCATTCCAAACGGAATAAATGTTCTTTTTCGCTAAAGACTGAACCGAATCCGCAAAAAAACCCCCATACCATGAAGAGATTGTCTGATGCAATGAAAAAGCCTTTTCTACAGAATCACATTCCACATCCCTCTTGTTTTTCTAATCAAGAAGAAATTGTACAACGATCGGTTAAAGTATGGCTTGAATGTGTTGAGCTTATGGATATAGTAAAACAAATATTCGTGTAATCTATTTCTCTCTATGTAAAGACAATTTCAAACCTATTCAGCTGACAAGTATTTATTTGAGGTAGAAAAAGTCTCTTTCAATCTTTTTATTTAAACGAAAATGTACTCAGACATTTTTTTGACCAAGAAACAAACTCACAAATATGCTTCAAACAAAATGTACAATGAACAATTAGTGGCGGAGCCAGGAGTTTGATCTAGAGGGGGCTCAGCCCAGAAATTTTCTGAACTCCGTCAGAGGTAAAGTCATTTAAATTTATGCTCGAAATCTATAACTTTTTTAGAGGGGGCTCAGCTCCCTCTCGCCCATAGCTGGCTCCGCCACTAGGACTAATGTGCCTCATCTTTTTCTTCTTTATCTTCAACATCTTTATGCAAAAGTCTTGTATACGGGTAACTCAATGTCTGGATCGTCTGAAGTAAGAAGCATCTTTCTTCTCCACAAATGTTATCAAATGGCAACGAGGCGCAAACGTGGCGTTCAGTGTTTTTCGCTCATTTTTTATTCAAACTTAAAATCAAATCTTGCCGTTAAAGTCACAAGAATTTTATCTAGTCAGATATGTAAAATAGCTTAAGACTTCCACAGTGAAATCCTGCAAAGGATAAGATCAAAGTCAATAGCATATATATGTGCATGTTTGTTCAAATGGGAGAATATTGTGTTGACTTTGATCTTATCCTTTGCAGGATTTCACTGTGGAAGTCTTAAGCTATTTTATGTATCTGACTACAGAAAATTATTGTGACTTTAACGGCAAGATTGTTTTTAATTTGAATAAAAAATGTGCGAGAAACATTGAAACTGATTCATACATATGATGATTGTTTATCAGACATTTGCTAATATTTGTCTAGAGAGGAGAAGAAAGAGATGCTTCTTATTTTAGACGATCCAGGCATCGAATTACCCGTATACAAGAGTTTTGCATACGGGTAACACGAGATCTTCTCCGATGCTGTGCCTAAACGATTGAGAGTGAAGGTCTCATTAACTCCCATTTCGAAGAGGGCACTTCGAGCTATCTATTCATGAAAAAATTCCAACGTATGTCTATGGTAAGTGTTGAACCGTTCTCCAACGATTATTCCAAATCCTACTTCATAGATAGACTGTGAAACTTATAAGTTTTATAAAAAGATATTTCAAAGTCTTGATTTCCAAATACTGAAAAGTCAAACTTTCTATCGCGTTTCGTTCTCGAGATATTCAGAAATTAGTGACGAACATTATGCTTACAATAAAACTGAACCACTGCTTACTGGAGTCCTGTGTACCTCGCCGGTCTCATAGTTCGTGCCTCGTTGGTCTTCGACGTTGTGTATTTCAATGTTGATCACCGAATTCTTCGTCTAATTTCCTGGAACATTCAGAAATGACAAAAAAATAGTAGATGGGAGAGAGACAAAAAGAAAAAGAGGCATCTTGATTTCAAGAAATGTATGACTGTGATGGTTACAACTCATCAAGCATGCACCTAACTGAAAAATAAAGAATTTTAAGAAAACAATTGTTTGTAGACGATACAAAACAGCGAGAAAGTTACAGCCTGTTTGTTCCTTATGCCACCAGTGTTCTCTCCTGTAAGGTATACGACGTTCCGATCAGACAAAAGGGTCATTTGCATTATTCGTTATTCAGGGATAAGAATTTATGAGGACAAATAAAAGCTTCTTTTAATTACTTTTCCATTCGATTGATTAATTTTTGTGCATCTTGGATGACGGCTGTTGCTTGTGTGTTATCGGTGGTTGTCGTCGTCGTTCAGTATAGATGTCGAAATCTTGCTGTGTAAAATTTGACACATCAGTGATCGTGGCTGGTCGTTCATGTGGTGCTGATGTACGAGTACCGTGCAATGATAAACGAGTGTCGTCTGATGATGAATATGTTGATTAATTTATTGAACGACTATGATGTGGTGTGGGCGACAAAGAAATGGTAGATCGACAATGTTAATCTATCGAAGATATTGTCGTTGACAATGGACTTCTTGATCGATCTTGTCGTCGTGCGGGTGTTGATATAGCTGGTATTGAAAAAGGACTAAAGAAGAAAGTATTTCAGAAAATTCTGCTGGAACAAATTTGGTTATGAAAACATGTCTCCATATCTCCTCTTTCGAAGGATGAAAATAGTAGCTCTCTACTTCTTTTCTATCAAAAGTTATTCAAAAAACAACCGATGGCACTATTTTTTTTGTATGAATAATGTTCGAAGAATCTACGGCTGAAGATTTTCGACGTACCGTACACGACCGTACTGTTGAAGTAATGATATATTATGCAATTGAAGAAAAAATGAAAGAAGATGGACAGCAGCTTGCAGATTGTAATACTGAATCACCTTCAACTGTGTGGCCGAATATTACAGAAATCATCAACAGAGAGGAGGAGCTTCGCATTGAACAAGACATGTATGACAAGCTAAATGCAAATCAACGTTATGCAGCTGATATGGTTCTCTATTCTGTTGGAAAACAAACACCTACTGTAGCATGTTTCTTTATAGATGGTCTTAGTCAACTCTATGCTGCATTTTCACGTGTACGCTCTCTTTCTTCAATAAAAGGGAAAATTCTGTCCGATAAAAGTTATTCAAGATCTAAAAAAATGACAACTTTCCAAACTCAAAATTTTTTTCGACTTGAACTTTTTCTTCTGCTGCTATTTCCGCTAAAAAGTGTAGCAAAGGTGAGAACTCAGTTTATGTTTGGTACTTTCAAATGTGCCCTTTCTCATAATTCCAAGATTTTTATATGAAATGTTGTTGAGGATAATAATAAATAAGGACATTCAATTTTATCTGTTGTAGATCCAAATAATCTCAACCTGGATTAATATGGGTTCCTGTGTTTCGAAATCGGTCTTAGCACCTAATGTAAACGTTTTGCTGTTATTTGTACGCCTTTATAGGGATATAGATACTTGTTATGATCAATCGTTAAATTGGCTCTAATTTTGTACGACCATGAGTACAAATGATTATAAACAACGGCAATAATACTAGTGGTGGTCTGTGTCCACATTTTCAATCCAATACATCTTGTGTTTCTCTCCGATGATCATTATTCGTTCCTCATCCTCGCTCTTCTACGTATGTTTTTATCGTGGATGCCCATTCTCAATGACTTTCCAGAGCCACACAATAGTTAACCTTCATACTTTGGCTAGGTAGTCTACAGACACTGTCGTTGGTGCGAATTTGAAGTAAAAATGATGCTCCTAGATTGAGTTGTGAATTTTTTCGCCCGTAAAACAGTGCCATGTCACTGACTGCTAACAGTCAACCCATGAAATTCATATTGTAGATAGAGTAGAGTCGTGGGTACATTTCAATAAAAACAAAAAGCTCTCATCTTTCTCAGACCAAAAGCTGTTGATATTTTACCTAAAAGAAATAAATCCTTTATATCTCACGAACAATTCAGTAAAAGCGGTTCAGACTTGGTGAATGATCAGCATTCGATAAGAGCTATGACCACAGAAAATTAGAAGTCCCCAGATATCGTGGTTTTCGAGTTACAGGGATGTCACTACTCTTGGAGAATACTGTAAAAACATCTGTTACACGGTATATAAATGTATCGTGACATTGTTCGAATTTACTAAAGGTGAACCACTTTATTTTTTTACAACCAAACGATAATGTCCTGGTAGAAAAATATATTCCATAGAAAATAAGAAAATAGAAATTTGACGTTTATACTCCTAGTGTAAAACGTATCCATTCCTTAGAGTCGTAATATCCATAAAATAGAAAAAAAAGGCCTTCTTTTATATATTTCTTTTTCTGCTATGTAAATATGCTAGTTTTTTGCCTACTGCGTTCTGTTGAAGAAGAACGACAAGATAGAAGAAAATGTCAACATACAGTCAATCGTTACCAATGTAAAATGATATTTATAAAACACAGAAGAGCTTCATTAACGTTTTTGTACAGAACAATGATCTCTTAAATAGCCGTTACTCTATTTTTTAAAGTCGTTGTTGGTACAATACAATAGTATCCGGGTGAAATACGAACATATTTTATAGTTTTATTAGGCGTGTCTAGTTTTAAACATTTTAATGTAGATGATGCAATCGATGCCAGTGCTGTTGCAGATAAATCTCGTGAAAATGATGAATATGCTTGAGATATTCTAACGTGTAAATATTGAATTTTTGGCAAATGTTTTAATAATTCTATAAATGTATAAAAATCTTGTATAGTTGTATACATATTTTCAACATTACATTTGCCTAATGTATTTAAATTTCTAAGATCAATCCATGGTGAATATAATGTTTTTAATGATGACATTTTTTGACTATTGAATAGGGTTGAAACAAGTTGTGGACAATCTATTGGTATTGAGTAAAAATAATCGTAACTTGGTTTTAGTTTAATTGATAAATAACAAAGATTATTCATATTTATTTTTGATAACATTTGATCAAGGATGTCGACTGTCGGATGAATTAAAATCAATGACTTAAGGTGAATGAGTTGTGTTAGATCACATTGAGTAACAAAACGTTCTATTCTTCTAGAACAGTGTGTAAAACCATTATCAGATAATTTTAAACCAAATATCATTTCATAATTGTTTCGAATTAAATCACAACATAAATCAAAATCTTTAGTGGATGATAAATTCAAATTTAATGGCATTGACTTGATAAGTGTGTCTATTCTTGTATTCAAGTTTAAAAATGAAAAAAGGATATCCGTACCATCTAAGTAGCCAAATATTTGAAAAAATAATTCATTGGGTAACAACTCCATCAGTTAACGAACGTTGAACGTCCTTTTCTGGAAGAAAAGTAATGAAAATAAAGTAACATTTTCTTAATGTTTTTAGTTCTGCCAGAAAAATGATAGCATGAGGTTTTTTTTTCTTTCTTCTTTTCTTTGTAACTCAATAATACGAATTTTTATATTGTGATAAAAATAGAATCTTTATTTTTCTTTCCTGTTCGTTGCCATATTACTATCACACTCTTTCTCACTTAACGTTGTTAACATGCAATAAAAGCAAAACAGTTTAGAGCGTGTAGATCTATCAAGAAATGAAGTTTTCTACTGTCAATCCCAGAATACAATTCAAGTTGTGCTTTTTTGAATAACTCAAAAACCATGATAGATAGAGACTTACAGTTTTCAGAAGTCAAAAGAGGACACCTGAAGCTATGCTTTTTCAAACAAAACTGCTTTCCAAAATTATTTGAAAGATCGATTTTTCAGAAGATCTTTGAATAACCAGCTCAGATCTCTAGAAACTGACACAGAAATCTATTGATTTTTTTTGCATAGGTTGATAGTCCAAATTCTCGTCTACGAAACTAGAACTAAGTAACATCTCCAGAAGCCATGGTTTAGATCTACGAACATTTTTCCCGCAGGTACAAACCCATAGGTTTGGTACTATTAAAAATGCATGAAAACATCGGCTATCGGCTATGCTGAGTCTCGTAGGAATGCCTGCTTTTACAAAAAAATTTTAGAATCTACCGAAACCTAAGTGTTACGAAAAATAGTCTTTTCCGACTGTTTTTAGCTGATATTAAAAAATGCATAATTCACTCAAAATACATCCGACGCAGACTTCAGGACATGGTTAATTTTGTCTACTAAACATAATTATAAAATCGAGAAATTCAAAAAAGCAATATTTTTTGAACGGTTTTCTAGAAGCCTTTGCAGGAAACCAGAGAGTTTTCTAGATTTCTTTTTGTAGATTTGTTTATACACAGAGTATAAAGTAGTTCATATACTGTACATCCTGAAGTTTTCAACTGGCTCTGATGTATTTTGAGTAAGTTAAATATCAGCTGGAAACAGTCGGAAAAGACTATTATCGGTTCCAGAAGTCAACGCAGGTGGATGTTTTTTGAATAACGTTTGATAGGAACAAGATAGAGACTTGCGGTTTTCATTTTTAAAAACTAGATACCTGACCACATATTCCTTTGAGCAAAAGCGAATTTCGGAAAAACTTATGAAGCGAGTTTTTCAAAAGATATTTGGAAAACTAGCTTGGATTTGCCGAAATTCACATAGGAATGCATTGACTTTTCTTCATCGACCAATAGCCCGGGGTATTCTCACTCAAAAAACATCAGAACAAGCTCAAAATCACAGGATATGATTAATGTTAATCGCTAGACGTGATTACAAGAGCGAAAAAATCTAAAAGTATATTTTTGTTAATAAGTTTTCCAGAAACCCTTTTTGGAAAACCTCAGGGTTTTTTTACAATTTATTTCGAGATCTCCTATAAACAGGATATAGAATAGCTTAAATACTCTACATTCTGAAGTTTTGAGCTTGTTCTGATGTTTTTTGAGTGAATAGTGAATTTTTTAATATTTGGTCAGAACCCCAAATTTTCGTCTCTTTTTGGGAATTCGCTTTTTGAAGTTATGTTACTAACTGAAACATTTTAACTTTGTTTTTCTGATTCAGCATCAACAACTGCGTAGGAAAACAGTCTCAGAACGTTTTTAAAACCTAATACCTATTCCCAAAAATTCACATAGCTCAAAAACCCTACCCAACTTTGCAAACCTATTATTTTTTATCATCAATACGGTTCAAACAAACGAAGGTTAGCATTAATAATTAAGAGACAATGTCTGAGTCAGTCATCCAAGGTTGAAAGCTGATGTTATCAGAACTTTGAACGAGATGTGTGGACAAAGTGTCTAAAGACGAATTGACGAATCGCAACTTTTAAGCGTAAAAATGATACAACAATTCGCGTTTTACCCTTATGTTACGAATTCGTACCGAATTGATGCGAACTGTATCGAATTCGTACGGATACTCTTAAAAACTTTTACGAATTCTTCTTGCGAATTCGTAAACAGAGAATAGATCAAACACGATGCTGC